CGCTGGATGTTTGCGTGCATGCTTATTCCTGTTTCAGCGAGCGAAGAACGGTGTAAAATAAGCTTGTTCGCTGTCGGGGGCGCCTGTCCCTGGGCGGCTGGAAAGTTTATACCCCTACGGTGCCACCGTAAGGGTATAAACTTTCCAGCCGCCCAGGGACAGGCGCCCCCGACAGCGAAAACGTTTATGTCATACCGTTTTTCGCCCGTTGACTGTTGCTGTGCACGTTTGCGTCCACGCCTGCATTCGTTTGCGTGCGCGCCCTGCCCAAGCCGGCTGCGCGCGCGGAACGTCGGGCTCTGAGCAGGCCGGGTATAGCCAGGACCCCAGGTAAGGGGACCCGGTCAGAAGTAGGGCCCCAGGTAAGTCGGGTGCGGAAAAGAGGGGGGTGATGACTAGGGGGGGGTGGATATCATGGCGCGGGCCATGATATTTCCCCAGATTTCATGGCGCCTCTTCTTATTTCATTACGTCCCTGGCCCCCCCCCGCTGGGCCGCGCACATGCCGCCGGTCATGATTTGCACCTCCCCCTCTTGGACACCCCCCTCGTGGCCGCTCCCGAGTAATTAAGGGGACCGGAGCACCTAAATTGACCAGAATCACTAAACCAGGTCTGCCGTAGCTAGTGCTTTCGGGTGACGGCAGTTCCGATGAGTGGAACGAGGCAGGGGGGGGCCTCCCCCAGTACAATCACGAAACGAGGTCCCGCTAAACCCAGTTTTGCCAACGCCCGAGTAGGGGTTGCAAGATCTCCCAGGGCGAGCTCCCTCCCCTCCCTCGTCCCCAGATCTCTGACGTCCTGCTTTCTTCGCTTCGTGGGCCCCTGAGTTCTCGGAGCCCCATCCCTGGGGACCCGTCTTCCCGGGGGTGGACGAACCCCCCCCCCCCTGACGCGTCGATTCGTGAATTGTCCGTTCTCGGTTCCCGAGAGGGCGCCGCGGCCGTCATCTTCCAGGCTTGCGCCCGCCGGGTTTGGGCCCGCGGGCGTTTCCACTGAACCGCGTGTTGCCAAAGCAAGGGTTGCGGCGCGTTTAGTTGCTAATTAGGCCGCTGTCGTGATCCGTAGCGCTTCTGACTGCGCTAGCGCCTTCGCTAGCGGACGCGACCGAAAAAAAAAAAAAAATTAGCCTGACGAGGGACCCAACCATATGCAGGTGCGAGTACCGCAATAGTGATTCACTTTTTCGGTGGCGGTCCCTATGAGGCAACGAACCGTGCTAGGGGTGTGCCGACATGAGTGGCGTGGTACACAACGCGAACGAAAACGATTGATCTGAGTACGTAGGGAGTCTGAGCGCGGGTGAATCTGCGCGCGTGCGTCTGACTGTGAATGAATCTGCGTGCGAGCGAGTCTACGTGCATGAATGCGGATATGACAAAGCGTGGTGCAATTGTGCATGAATGTCAATACTTGGACAATGACTGCCTCTGAGTACTCGTGACGCTGGGCGTGGCCGCCGCAAGGAGCTTTCCCGGGACTCCCCGACGGCATCGCCCGCGCGCCGCGACGCCAATGCCGGCGCGCCCCCCCGCGAGGATCGCGCCCGCTTCCTCCCCTTCCGTTACTCCCTCTTTGCCCGCGCACTCAAAAGTCCAAGGCTGCGGGCGCAGCGCAGCGCGGAGTCCCCGCGACGCGCGCAGGTCGCCCCGGAGGGGTCCCAGCGACGCGCGCGGGTTGTCCACTGCGCGGAGCAGAGAGAGCTAGCTGCCTGGCTGATAGCGGGCAAGGCTCTTGCCGCTGGGCAGAGCGACGACGGGCGAGCGAGGCGCTGGGCAGAACGCAGCACGGAGCCCCCGCGACGCGCGCAGGTCGCCCCGGAGGGGTCCCAGCGACGCGCGCGGGTCGCCCGCTGCGCGGAGCAAAGAGAACTGGCTGGCTGGCTGGGACCTGCGGTGGGGCTCCATATGGGGCCACGCAACGCTGTACTGCGCGGTGGGGCTCCATATGGGGCCACGTAACGCTGTACTGCGCAAGGGAGAGGCATGCGGACTGCGCCACGGGGACCTTCGGTGGAGTTCCCTATGGGGCCACGAAACGTGTGAGGTGTGGGCCGAAATGAATGGCGGGGGCGCGTGCGGACTGTGCCACTGGGGCCTTCGGCGGAGCTCCGATGGGGCCACGAAACGTGTGAGGGGTGTGCCGAAATAAATGGCGGGGACGCATGCGGACTGCGCTACGGGGGCCGTCGGTGGAGTTCCTATGGGGCCACGAAACGTGTGAGGGGTGTGCCGAAATGAGTGGCAGGAACGCACGCGGACTGTGCCACTGGGACGTTCGGCGGAGCTCCTGTGGGGCCACGAAACGTGTGAGGGGTGTGCCGACATGAATGGCGGGAACGCATGCGGACTGTGCCACGGGGACCTTCGGCGGAGCTCCTATGGGGCCACGAAACGTGTGAGGGGTGTGCTGAAATGAGTGTGCGGGACGCATGCGGACTGTGCCACCGGGACCTCCGGCGGAGCTCCTATGGGGCCACGAAGCGTGTGAGGGGTGGGCCGACATGACTGGCGGAGACGCATGCGGACTGTGCCACCGGGACTTTCGGCGGAGCTCCTGTGGGGCCACGAAACGTGTGAGGGGTGTGCCGAAATGAGCGGCGGGGACGCATGCGGACTGTGCCAACGGGACCTTCGGCGGAGCTCCTGTGGGGCCACGAAACGTGTGAGAGGCGTGCCGACATGAGTGGCGGGGACGCATGCGGATTGTTCCATTGGAACCTTCGGCGGAGCCCCTATGGGGCCACGAAACGTGTGAGTGGTGGGCCGAAATGAACGGCGGGGGCGCATGCGGACTGTGCAATTGAGACCTTCGGCAGAGCTCCTATGGGGCCACGAAACGTGTGAGGGGTGTGCCGAAATTGCACACCCACTGGGACCTTCGGTGGAGCTCCCTATGGGGCCACGAAGCGTGTGAAGGGTGGGCCGAAATGGGGGTGCGGAGCGCATGCGGCCACACCCGGGACCTTCGGTGGAGCTCCCTATGGGGCCACGAAACGTGTGAGGGGTGTGCCGAAATGTGTGTGCGGGACGCATGCGGGCACACCCACTGGGACCTTCGGTGGAGCTCCCTATGGGGCCACGAAGCGTATGAAGGGTGTGCCGAAATTTGTGTGCGGGACGCATGCGGGCAAACCCACTGGGACCTTCGGTGGGGTTCCCTATGGGGCGAAACACGAAACGGGACTGCGGGCACGAACCTTCGGTGGAGCTCCCTATGGGGTCACGAAACGCGTGAGGGATGTGCCGACATGGTGTGTGCGGGCGGGACCTTCGGTGGAGCCCCCTTATGGGGCCACGAAACGTGTCAGGGGTGTGCATTGGTGTGCGGGACGCATGTGGGCACACCAACTGGGACCTTCGGTGGAGCTCCCTATGGGGCCACGAAGCGTGTGAGGGGTGTGCCGAAATGTGTGTGCGGGACGCATGCGGGCACACCCACTGGGACCTTCGGTGGAGTTCCCTATGGGGCCACGAAACGTGTCAGGGGTGTGCCGAAATGGTGTGCGGGACGCATGCGGGCACACCCACTGGGACCTTCGGT